CGTCGACCAATGGGTAGAGATTTCCGCGAACTGTATTGCAAAACAAGAGCTTCTGAGCGCAGGCCATACCCGACGAGTAGGTGTAGAGTTTGATACCGGAGCGCACTTTCCACTCGTGGAGGGCGTCCGACACGTCGTCGTAGACGTGGCTCTTGAGTAGACCCGACTCGTAGAGCCAAACCCAACACAAGAGTTCGGCCGATTTGAGTTCAGTGGTCTTGAGTTTGGAGGTCAACTGCCACTGTACGTTGTTCTCCACCGACGCGATGGTCGACTCTTTACGGCCGGCGCTCTCGATGACAGGCATTCCCTGATATTTGCCGCTCTTCTGAAGCTTTTCCAGACTTTTGATCAGTTCTTTGGTCTCCGATTTGTCGATCGTTTTTGTGAGAAACTCTTTGAATTTCTGGCGAATCATTGGAAACAGTGTTCGCGACACAAACTTTCGGTCAGTTGTGGTGCCCTCGATGTCGATCACAATGGCCTTCGGTTTCGGCAACTTTTTCGACATTACAAACCAATTTGTTTCACAAGAAATACAACACAAATAACTGACTATCAGTTGGCTATCAATTGACTGTTTGTTTGTTTCAATAAAATTTAAATTTGAATTAAAAGAGGTTTTATTATTTCGGTTTACAATCATTTACTTTGAAAACATCACGAGATTTATGTATTTAACAACTATTTAATTATATAAACATGTAATTAAGAAAAGGTTTGCGATAATTATTAAAATCACACTAAAATCAGAATTCAATTGAAAAACACATATAAAAAACAACATAAAAGTTATTTGAATATCGATTTCATCTATTAATTCACACATCTATGCGTTCGGATCTACGGTCTAAATCAGATCCAAGTGTCTCATTAGTAATGGTGCTGTTTAAGGCAACGGGCACTTTTTGATCGCCGGTATCTGTTGGTGGATCTACTGGTGATTTGTTGTCTGCGGTGGTGTCGTATTCCGCGAGTTTCTCTTTGGCCTTTATGTTCATTTTAGTCATTCTCACCGCCTGACCAATTGTCGGACTCCTCTTCAGATCAGTGCCAAAGAAGTAATTGTCCACAACTTTCTGTTTCTTGCGCTTCTGGTCGGGTCTTTGCCACAAACAGTAGATTATAATACAAGCCATTATCAACACAAACACAACACCAAACCCGACCACTAGTCCTACAATCAGGCCATCCATTCATTCACTTACACTATCAGTTAGTTATGATT